TCTCTCCAGAGAGCACAGGCACCCTAAGGCAAAAAAATCTTAAAAAGGGGGCAGGTGGCATGGAGGTTAAGGGCACTGGACTCCCACGTGGTCAACTGCAGTTTGAGTCTTGGACCTGATGGCTTGCTTACTCATTTTCTCTTGCTCTCTCTCTCACTCTGTCCCTCTCTGATCAAATTAAAATAAATAAATAATGGATAAAGTTAAATAAAATAATTCTTAAAAAAAAAAAAAGTCCATTTGTGCATTTCAAAACACAAAAGTACTAACCAAAATTCAATACTAACCTCTGTGGCATAGATTTTGAAGAGTATCCATGAGGTGTACCAAGTGGTCAAAAGAAAGACACCACACAGCCAGACATGGTAGAGTAATGAAAGATTCAAGAGGCCACTCACAGTGTCAAGAGGCCTCTGAAACTGCCTACGAAAGCAGAAATTACTGTTTAATCCCATGAGAAAAATACAACATAAGCATTTAAGAGACATGGGATTCCGCAATGGAAAACAAATAAGTACCGTTTCTCAACCATGATGACGTTAGACTCCTCTCCTTTTGCACCCTTACAGAGTTCTTTCTCTGAAAGAACGTTAGTCCCTTATGAAGGACACAGGGAGTCTTAAGAGAAGCATGAGCCTAAACTGGCACTATAATGTCCTGTGTTTTACATTTACTGCGGGGGAAGGAGCCAAGTATCTGAGCCTAACTGCTAAGTGCTGGGTGGAAGTTCTCACTGCTAGTGTGTAATCTGATACTTAAGACCATTAAACATTACTAGCACCTCTCCTGGACAGAAGTACGCTTTATCTGCACACTTAGTAAACAGTTTCATAGTGGTTTAAAAGCACACACTACTAAAAAGCAAAAATCTTTACTATTAAAACAATTCAAGAAACTGTGCTAGAATGCTAAGTAAAGCTAATGTCATCCTACCAAAAACTTGGATAGATCAATTTACAATCACAAAAACAATTGTGAAAACCAGGATTTGAACCTCTGACTGACGCTTATAAGTTGTGATTAGGTAAATCACTCATGCCCTTGGTTTCCTCGTTCATGTAACAGTGGCACAGTTTCTTCATCTACCTCTTAGGGCTAGTATGATTTCAAATGGCTTAAATTAGGAGTGCCCAGCACAGTGTTTGACATTCACTGGAGGAAGGGAGGGGGTGTCAATTCAAAGGGAGGAATTCTACACTGTAGAAACCATATCTTTTAAATACTCATATATGCTAACATTCCCACTCCCTGAAAACTGATATTAATGAATTCAACAAAAAAGAAAAACTTGAACATTTCTGATGTTAAAATATTTAATATTGGGGGACCAGCAGATGGCGTAATTAACGGCAGTTTTAGTCCCAGACCCAGTGGCTTGAAATTTATGCTGGGTGTGTGTATGTGGGTCCAAAAATCCCAAGAGAAGGGACTGCAGCATGGCCATCTCCCCTGAGGGGTGATTTCTTGCTTTCTATCTGTTTGTCTCTCCCTGTCTCTCTGGCAAACGTACATGCCCTAACGCAAAAACAAAACAAACAAACAAACAAACAAAATCTCTCTAAAATAAAATAAAATAAAATAAAAATTTAATATTGAAGGGACCAGCAGATGGCATAATGACTACGTCACTGGACTCCCATGTAGTCAACCATGGTTCGAGTCCTGGACCCGGTGGCTTAAACTCATGCCAGGCGCATGTGTGTGCGTGACCAAGATCCCAAGAGGAGAATGGAGGAGAAGGGATTGTGGCATGACTATTCCTCCTGGAGGTTGATTTCACGCTTTCTGTCTTTCTCTGTCTCTCTGGCAAGCACATGCACCCTATAGCAAAAACCTCTCAAAAAAAAAAAAAATTAGTATCAGACCAGAAGGGGGCATGGAAGTTAAGGTGCTGTATCACACATGGTCAGCTTCATGGTTCAAATCTCGGACCTGGAAGCTTGAGAATCATGCAGGGTGTGTGTGCATGTGTCAAAAATCTCGAGATGAAAGTGGAGGAAAAAAGAATGTGACATGGTCATCCCCCGGGGGGTGGGGTCATTTCTCACTCTCTCTCTTTTTCTCTGTCACTCTCTGATGGGCATATGCACTCTATAGCAAAAAAAAAAAAAAAAAAAAAAAAGTAATATTTAGGGTCATCCAGTGGCATAGTGATTAAGGCAGCTGAATTCCACATGACCATTCACAACTGAGTCCCAGATACAGAGGCTTGATAAATCACACCAGGCATGTGTGCATGTGTGCCCAAAATCCCAAGAGGAAAATGGAGGAGAAAGGACCATGGCATGGCCATACCCTGAGAGGGTTATTTCTCACTTTCTCCCTCTCTCTCCAGACAACATATGCACCCTTATAGAAAAATCTAAAACAAAACAAAACAAAAAACAAAGAAAAACAAAAGCACACTAAACTTCCATCTATGTGCCATGTACCTGGAGGATACTATTTGGTTGTCAGAAGAGTCATGTGTTTTTCTATGCAAAAACGTGTCACGACTTTCCCAACTACCTAACAGAACGATACACGCCAGTGCTGCCACTTGGCTTGCACTTGTGACTTTCATCTATTCACATGACCTTGTTCAACTGTGGTGTCCTCATAGGCGAAATCAGAGTAAGACAGTCTGGTGTGCTCCACAAGATACTATGAACGACGGTGGTAAAAAAAAAAGAAACGATTCAAACAACCCTAGAGGTCCAGTTTTGCACAAGAGTGTATCTAACAAAATACTCCTTACTTCCGGGAAAGGAACTGGGTGACTGGAGACAGGATTTGTCGAACGAGGCTTTTTCACTGTATACCCTTTGTCTGCCTTGGGAATTTTGTACTATACAAATACCGTGTATCAAAAATGAATACAATATTTTAAAATTAAAGGTTAAATCTAAGTAAGACATCTGGAAAGTAGCAAACAGCTTAAAGGACAAAAATAATTAAAATTTTAATGTTTTGTATATCACTTACTCATCTATGTGAAGATCCATAGCCGTGCTAATCCAAGCTTTGGGAATATGGCCTGAGGGGGGAAAACACCAAACTATGAACATAAAAAGTTAATCAAACTAATTTCAATCATGCTTTAGAATATGAGGTCAAGTAGACACCAACACCCTCAGTCAAGCTAGATTATTTGATTACAAATGGACAGGAAAAGAAAAATTCCAAATACAGCCAGTCCAGGTTCTGATGATATATAGTTCAGTTAAAAAAAATACCAGTTCCAGGGCCTGAAGGTGCCATAGTGGTTATGGCTCTGGACTCCCACATGGTCACCCAACGTTCGAGACCTGGATCTGACCTGAAGGCTTGAAACTCACACCAGAAGCATGTGCATGCATGCCCAAAATCCCGAGAGGAGAATGAGAAGGGATTGCCCTGTGGCCATCTTTCCAAGGCATAATTTCTCACTTTCTCTCTCTCTGTCTTTCCACAAGCGCATAAACCCTGTAGCAAAAATCTCTCTTTAGGGACCAGCAAATGGTATAGCAGTTACATAGCTGGACTCCCACATGGCTGACTACAGTTCAAGTCCCAGTCTGGAGGTCTGAAACTCACACCGGTCACATGTGTGTGCGTGCCCAAAATCCCAAGAGGAGATAGGAGGAGAAGGGACTGTGGGTGGTCATCTCCCCGAGGGTGATTTCTCGCTTTCTGTCTCTCTGACAAGCGCACACATCCTATAGCAAAAATCTCTTACCAAAAAGAGAGAGAGAGAGAGATGGAAAGTGAGAAAGCAAGCCACCAAGTGTGTGACTTGAATCATGATCAGCCATGTGGCAGTCCAGCACCCCAACCACCATGCCAACTGCTGCCCCCAGTACAGTACTTTTGACTATATTCATACGGTTGTGCAATAAAGCTCTAGAACTTTTCCATCGTGCAGCCATTGACCAGCTCTCTCCCTTTCCCCCAGCTCCCCAGCCCCTGGCAGCTACCCTTCTACTTGGTTTCTAACATTTGAGTACTGTAGATACCTTTACTAAGTGGAATAATAGAGTATTTGTCCTTTTGTGCCTATATTATTTCAGTTAGCATTATGTTCTAAGATTTGTGTGTGATAGCACATAACATTTCATTCTTTTAGTTTTTGCTAGGGGGTGCATGTGCTCACAGGAGAGAGTCAGAGAAAGCGAGAAAGGATTAAGTTCCCCTCGGGAAGATGGCCACCCCATAATCCTTTCTTCCTCATTCTCTTCTCAGGATTTCAGGCACACATGCACGCACAAATGCCTGGCATGTTTTTTAAGTCGCCAGGTCTAGGACTCAAACCGCACAGTCCACCATGTGGGATCCAACTGCCTTAACCACCAGGCCACTAGCTGGCCCTTCTTTTTAAAGTTGAATAGTGGGGCTAATAGCAGGTGGCATGGTGATTGAGGCACTGGACTCCCACATGGCCGTCCACAGATCAAGTCCTGGACCTGGCGACTTGCTTTCTCAGGTCCCTCATGCTCTCTCTCCATGTCTCTCTCTGGTCGGATTAAAAAATAATAATAAATAGGGATGAGCAGATGACATAATGGTTATATAAATGGACTTTCACATAGTCAACTATAGTTTGAGTCTCGGACCTGGAGGCTTAAAACTCACATTGGGCACATGTGCATGCATCCCTAAAAATCCTGAGAGGAGAATGGAGAAGGGATTGGGGTGTAGCCATCCCCACAGGGTTGGGGGGGATTTCTCACTTTCTGTCTATCTCTCTATCTCTTCAGTAAGCCCACGTGCCCTATAGCAAAAATGTATCTCAATAAAAAAAACACAATAAATGAGATTTAATAAATATTTCTTTAAAAAGAAAAAAAGCCGAATAGTATTCCATGGTATGTATAAATCACATTTTCTTTAACAATATTGTCCCTAACTAAATACTCTGATGATTTACACCATGACTCAGTTGGGCTAACCACATACCTACAACATAGGAAATAAACAAATGCAATCAAGGATGACTTTGTAACTAACATTTTCAGAACTATGAGTTATTATATACACTGTATTGAAAAGCAGAAATTCTTACCTAGAAAATAATACACAATGCAGAAATTTCTAGTGAGGAATAACGATTCCACACAACTATGTTTAACTAGTAGGAGCAAGGATCTTCTAAAGCGCAAAAACTTGAATTGCTGTGGAAAAAAGAAAAGCAGAATCGAATGGCACATCCAAGTCAACTGGTGCGTCCTAAAGCAAGTACTTACCTGTAATTGGCAACATCTAAAACAGACTCATTGTACAGAAGGACAAAGCCTCGTCCATAGGCAAAAAATCAAATATTTCTGACATTAAGATATTCAATATTTGTATTATTCAACATCTCACTGATGTGAGATCAGAAATAAGAAAATTACTATTATCAATTCCTACTTGATACAAAGGACAATGGAGAATGGGGAAAATATTAAAAATAAATGAACAGTAACAGTTAGCTTTCTCTGGGTGCCTGTCGCGTAGCTGGTACTGTTACAAGCACTACACACGCACTAGTCCATTTAAACCTCACAATAACCCTCTGAAGGAGGCTTTATTAACATCCCCATCTAATAAATTAGAGAACCAAGGCAGAGAGGTTAAATAACTTGATCAATGTTCCAGCTAGCAGAAAGAAAATCTGAGATACAAATTCAGAAGGTTGGTTTCAGAACCTGCTATCTTAATGATAATGCATACTGTCCTTACACTAACTTTTTTTTTTAAGACAAATTTTTGCTCTAGAACATGTGCACTGCCAAAAAGACAGAGAGACAGAAAGCGAGAAATCACCCCCGGGGAGGTGGCCATGCCACAAACCCTACTCCACTTTCCTTTCGGGATCTTAGGCAGGCACGCACACACACCAATGTGTTTCGAGCCACTGGTTCTGGGACTCAAATCGTGGTCAACTACGTGGGAGACCAGTGACATAACTATTACGTCACCTCTTAGGCCTCACTAATTTTTTTTAAATGTCGTTTACAGAAAGATGAGAGATAGTGAAGAAGGCACTAGCCTAGGAATCAGAGATGTGTGTTCTAGTGCTCCCCTCTTGTACGACCCTGAGCGAGTCACGTCTCCTCTCTATGAGATAAGGCTGAACCAACTAAATAGTTTCTTAAAAGGATCTGCTAATTCTTTTTTTTTTTGGAGAGATTTTCACTACAGGGCGCATGCACTCGCCAGACAGAGAGAGAGAGACAGAGAGACAGAAAGCTAGAAATCACCCGTCAGGTGGGATGGCCACGCCGCAATCCCTTCTCCTCCATTCTCCTCTTGGGATCTTTTTTTTTTTTTTTGAGAGATTTTCACTGTAGGGCGCGTGCGCTCGCCAGACAGACAGAGACATAGAGACAGAAAGCGAGAAATCACCCCCCAGGGGGGATGGTCACGCCGCAATCCCTTCTCCTCCATTCTCCTCTTGGGATCTTGGGTACGCACGGACACGCGCCCCGGCATGAGTTTTAAGCCACCGGGTCCGGGACACGAACCGCGGTCGACTACGTGGGAGTCCAGAGACATAGCCATTACGCTAACTGCTGGTTCCCTCTTCTTGGGATCTTGGGCACGCATGCACACGCACCTGGCGTGAGTTTTAAGCCACCGGGTCCGGGACTCGAACCGCGGTCGACTACATGGGAGTCCAGCGACATAGCCATTACGCTAACTGCTGGTTCCCAGGATCTGCTAATTCTAACAAACTAAGTGAAAAAAGTCAAGTAAGAAAAAAATAGCATGTTTTGAGTCAGTTGGTGATATAGTAGTAACGGTGGCTAAATTCCACATGGCCAGCCACGCAGTGAGCATTCTGGGCCCAGTGGCTTGAAAACCACATATCCTGGGGCCTACAGGTGGCATGGTAGTTAGGGCATTGGACTCCCACACAGCCAACTGCGGTTCAAATCCCAGACTTGGTGACTTGCTTTCTCATTTTCCCTCTCTCCCTCTCTGGTGAATTAAAAATAATGATAACAATAAATAAAACAAATAATTACTTTTTAAAAAGAAAGAAAAGAAAAATACATATCCAAAATACCAAAAAGAGAGGAGAAAGGATTGTGGCGTGGCCATCCCCTATGGGGGGGGGGGGGGGTGGTGTTTTCTATCCATATCTCTACTTCTCTCTCCCCAGCCCCCTCCTCCCTCCCTCCAGTGAGCACATTTACCCTATAGCAAAAAAACTTAAAAGTACATATTTTCCTGAAAATACATGCGTCTCCCTTCCAAAATGACAATCAAAAAATCGTAAGTTACTGAAATGAATCTAAGAAAACAAGATTACAAAAGACAAACTCAGCCAGCAGCATGGTGTAACAGTGGCACATGCTCTGCAATGCTGGAAGCCATGTAGAAGATCAGGGTTTGGTTTCTGGGTCAACATGAATGCCAGGTGCCAGCACATACAAGTGATCAAGAAAGGCTGGGGGAGGGGATCAGCAGTTAGCGTAATGGCTATGTCACTGGAGTCCCACGTGGTCAACCGTGGTTCGAGTCCTGGACCCGGTGGCTTAAACTCACACAGGGGACGTGTGTATGCGTGCCCAGGATCCCGGGAGGAGAATGGAGAGGGGAGTACGGCATGGCCATCCCACCTGGGGGGTGATTTCTCGCTTTCTGTCTCTCTGTCTTTCTCTGTCTTTCTGGCGAGCTCATGCACCTTATAGCTAAAAACCTCTCCAAAAAAAGAAGAAAAAAAAAAAAAAAGGCTGGGTGTGTGGGTAGACTGTGGCATGAGACTCTTTTGAGGGTGTTTCTCTCTCTCTGAAAAGAGATAAATAAGTAAACTTAAAAAAATGAACTTCTCGGGAACCAGCAGATGGCGTAATGGCTATGTCACTGGACTCTCACGTAGTTAATCATAGCTCGAGTCCCAGACCCAGTGGCTTAAACTCACGCCAGGTGCATGTGCATGCGTGCCCAAGATCCCAGGAGGAAAATGGAGAAAGGATTGCGGTGTCGCCTTCCCCCCCAGGGGATGATTTCTCACTTTCTGTCCTTTGTCTCTCTTGTGAGTACACGAGTCACCTTTTCTACTTACATTGGACTGATCCTCCCTTGAGAAATTTCAGAAGCTAAAGAACAGCAAAGAATATTAGGTGGAAGTTATATCTTCATATATGCCTGTAGATGCCTGGCATCTGACAAAATGCAGGCCATAGGAATACCTGGTCACTAACTATAGAGTTTGGTTTATTCAAACACTTTCAAAGTGCAAGACGTAAAACTGTACTATTCTATGCAACCAATGGGAGCTACTACTACAACACATGTACCCCATAAATAGTGCAAACTTCCCCTCCTGTTCCTACTGCTGCTCTCCCCTCAACCATTGCTCACGAGAGTACAGAAGCTAGGGAGGCAGGCAGACATTTCAGCAGACATTCAGCAATACACCTAATATACCCTGCTCTTGCTCCCAAGCTAAAGTATATTCTGATTCTCTGCTGACTTTCTTCTCTGATTTGGCTATGAACAATCCTTTATTGAACATTTACTATGAACCAGGCCTACACTAAGTACACTATAAATCTTATTTAATACTTTTAGAAGTCTTATTAGCATAGAGTTTGGCAAGCCCTGTCACAGTGTCTATTTCTTTGTCTCCTACTCAGTGCTAACATTCTGCTTTTCTGTATTAGTCTATCATTGAGAATTTGATAGAAAGTTGGGACAGCGGGTGGCATGGTGGTTAAGGTGCTGGACTCCCACATGGCCGACCGCAGTTTGTGTCCCAGACCTAGAGGCTTGCTTTCTCACTCTCTCTCTCTCTATCGCTTTCTGTCTCTGGTCAAAATTTTCCCTTTCTGGTCAAATTAGAATAAATAAATAAAAGTTAAATAAAGTAATTCTTTAAAAAAAAAGAATGTGATAGAAAGCAAAAGAACTGGTTCTAGATAAGCAGTTTAAAGGGAAAAAACTAATAGGCTATTGGCTAATTGAATAAACTTAGATATTTTTAAAAGATCTACTATTTCACAAGTTACATGAAAAAAGTCATTACTGGGACCAGCAGTTAGCGTAATGGCTATGTCGCTGGACTGCCACGTAGTCGACCGTGGTTTGTAGTCACGCCGGGCACACGTGTGTGCGTGCCCAAGGTCCCGAGAGGAGAATGGAGGAGAAGGGACTGCGGCGTGGCCATCCCCCCTGAGGGGTGATTTCTCGCTTTCTGTCTCTCTGTCTGTCTGGTGAGCGTACGCGCCCTATAGCAAAAACCTCTCAAAAAAAAAAAAAAAAAGTCATTACTAAATAGTATGTACAATATGAAATAACTTGTGTAAATACCTCACGAGATCTATAATGTCACAGGTATATGTAAATGTAAAGTCTGGAAAAATAAACACTAAACTGCTAATAATGTTTATTTCTGGGACAAAGATTGAGATTGGTCATGGTGGTCAGAGGGACTTCCAATTTATCTATAACATTTGAATATTTTATAACAAAAACGTTACCAGTGTACTCTCAAAAAGCTGACTGATAGACAGCACCAAAATAACGATGATGGTGGTGATAACGATCTTAATGACTGAGAACTAGCTGTGGTAGCACAGGCAGCGGCGTGCCACTTCGTAGCACTGAAGCCACACAGAGGCCCAGGTCTGAAGCCCAGGTCAACTTCACACCAGGCAGACCTGCCTGCATCCCTGATTCTGGCTGACTTAGAGCCTGGGAGAATACTGCGGCAATGCAGGACCCTATCAGAGGTGCCTGTCTTTCCCTCTCTCTTTCCCCCTCTCTCATGAAATAAGGGAAAGGATGAAACAAAAACTTAAAAAATAATAATGGTTATTACCACTTGAAAAAAATTTTTTAAGGTCTAAAATTTTCTGGTCAACTTAGCTACCAAAAAAATGTAAAGAGTTGTAACAACCAGTCACATTGCTCTATGGAGACTCAGAAAGGGAAGGAAAGGGCCTGACTTTTCACATCAAGCCCGCAGTTCCTAACAATCCATACTGCCTCCTTAAGCAACTTCAAATGCACAAGGGGGTGTCATATGGTACGTACCATGCTCCCAGACAAATGTAAGAAAAGGAGCAATGGTGCCCCCCTTCCCCCTCAGTCTTCTGGGGAGGCAAACTTATTCTGCCAGGTAAACAAAGACACACACCTGACGAATGAGAAACCACGGTCCCAGGCCCAGTGTCCATATCAACTCCTCCTCCCCTCCTCCACGGCCCTTCCACTACACCACCTAGCAAACTCCTGCTCCCAGCATCCCCAGCCCGGAGAACGGCACACCTGGGCACACCAACACCACCACACACTTGTGGCTTTATGTCCCAGGTATGCACATTGGCCAAAAGCTGAATGGACAAAGGTTAGAAGTCAGCATTTTGCAGAAGTTAAATATGGCCATCATAGAATAAACTTTTGGGGTATAAATTATTTATTTATTTAATTCCATTTGTTATTATAATTTTTTATTTGACTAGACAGAGAGAAAAAGGGAAAACAAGAAAGCAAGCCACCAGGTCCAAGACTTGAATCGCAGTCAGCCATGTGGGAATCCAGCACCTTTAACCACTATATCACCTGCCGGCCCCTGATTATCTAAAGTTTTATCCAAAAAAAAAGTACAAGGGGCCAACAGATGACGTGGTGGTTATGTCACTAGACTCCTACTTCAACTATGGTTCGGTCCTGGACCTGGTGGCTTGAAAATCATGCCAGGCACGTGTGTGTGTGCCTAACATCCCAGAAGGAGAACAGAATAGGGATTGTGGTGTGGTGAACCCCCTGGGGAGTGATTTCTCACTTTCTTTCTGTCTCTCTGTGACAAGCGCACATGCCCAAAGGCAAAGAACCTCCTTAAAAAGTAAATAAATTACAAAAATTCTTAGTATTAAAATTTTATAAATTTGACTTCACATGATAGAAGCAACACTTGATGAGTGCTTAAACTCTTAAACTGCTCCACATTCACTTTATTGCACACTTGTAATGTTAAATGGATGGCCATGGAGAGCCAGCAAGGTACTGTGGGGCTGCCTCATTTTTCTCTATAACACTTCCTTTTCTTCATTCTCTATAGTCTTAAATTAGGCTTGGATCAAAGATAATTTATCATGGCTATTTTTCATAGGATTTTAAAATTTTGAGGTACAAAAGTGATATCCTGCTTTCAGCTCATCTTCATAGAGGTAAAGAATTTTTTTTTTTTTAAGAATGATCTTATTTAACTTTATTTATTTATTTATTTTAATTTGACCACAGAGGGACAGAGTGAAAGTGAAAAAGAGAGAAAGTAAGAAAGCAAGCCACCAGGTCCAGGACTTGAACTGCAGTCGGCCATGTGGGAGTCCAGCACCCTTAAGCGCCACGCCACCTGCCGACCCCAGAGGTGAAGAATTTCTAAACAGGACTTCTTTTTCACATATTCAGATTTCAAGGAGGTAAAGGGCAGATTCTCTGCAGTGAGCACTATTGCTTCACAGCGTGTGCGTTTTCATCAGATTATTTCATGGTGCAACAGGTATGTGAGAATTTTAGTCAAACCAGAAGAACCCTAATCCCTCACACCCTCACATATTTCACTTTCACAATGGCACATTACCTGTTTACCTGTACCCCACCAGCCTGGGTCCTCCAAGTGGGAAGGGGCTAGTGCTAAACATCTTTGCTTCGATGCCCCGCCCTCAGCCTCCCACGTCAAAAATGAAGTAAGTAATAGCGCAATTGGGAATAGTGGAAATAGCCTGGGGAAAGCCCTGAGGTGACAGTGAGACATCTCAACCAATCTTTCTCTCCCTGGTTTGAGCAGGTGGCTCTGTGCTCAAAGGACGATTCCTATCAGATTAGATTTCTAAAAATCTAATTGAAAGATAATTCATAGTGTACCACTCAAATTAGTTATAACTTTATTTATATACTTTTATGTTCTGAAAAGAATATGAGATAGTAAATGACATATTCTAAAATTATTTGCACATCTCCAAACAATGAGATACTTAAATTCAAAAAGAGGTTCTTTGCAGCCCTGCTAGGTCACAGCAAATGCCACTACCTAGCAGGGAGGGAAATAGTTGAGCAAAGTGGTATTCTGAGAATGGCAGCAAGAAAGGGTAGCTATGGCTCTCTAAAATACATAGTCTCATAAAAACAAATCTCTTTTCTCTAAATGACACTTTGAGCCTCTCGGCCTTAGGGTTTGCTAATTAAATCTTGAATTAATCAGATGCGGCCAGTTATACACAGGTCCACCAAGGCAATTTTAACTCTTGACAAATCCTGGCATAAGGTTGCTCAAATGATATCTTACCTGTATGATGGGAAATGGAAGATAATTCATGTTGTTAATGAAATACAGAAGGCTATAGCTGTAGCCCATAAATGCTCCAGCCAGCAGGAAAAAAAGGTGATACTCATTTAAGCAGGATCGTGCAGCAGGGCTCCCTAAACTGAAGGAGGAAAAGTTATTAATTCAATAGTCAGGGATGCATATCACTGTTTTAAACTCAGTATTTACAGAATGCAAAGCTCTGACTTAATTGCTTAAGAAATGTCCCAACTTCTAACAAAATGGCACATTTTAGGTAAATGTGATAAAAGATGAACTGCAATTAAATGAGGTTCCTTAGAGGGAAAAAAATACATTTAGAGGGCTAGCAAGTGGTATGGTGGTTGGGGCACTGCACTCCCACATGGCTGACTGTGGTTCAAGTTCCAGACCTGGTGGATTGCTTTCTCACTTTCAGTCTCTGTCTCTCCCTGGTGACCACATGTGCCCTATAGCAAATTATTAAAATAATAATAAGGGACCAGGAGACAGTATAATGGTTATGTCACTGGACTCCTATGTAGCTGACCGTGGTTTGAGTCCCAGACCCAGAGGCTTAAACTCATATCGAGTGCACATGCATGCGTGCCCAAAATCCCAAGAGGAGACTGGAGAAGAAGGGACTGTGGCATGGTCATCTCCCCTAGGGGGCTGATTTCTTGCTTTCTGGCTCTCTGTCTCTCCAGCGAGCGCACACACACTATATCAAAAATCTCTAAAAAATAATAACAATAATAAATTAATTAAATAATTCTTATAAAAAAAAAATCATTTACTATTACCTCTCAGTGCCAGTGCAGGGAATCACAAGAAAACTGTATCGGCCCTTGGTTATCACTGCAGCACACCAAGCCATCACCATTCCCATTGCAGCATGAATAAAGGAGTGCATGAGTTGCTGAGGATGAACAATCTTCCCTATCAATGCCAGCCTGGAGCAGGGAATGGAAGGCACAACTGCAACGAAAATACATTCTGTGATAATCTGCACCATATGGAGTCAGGGGATCTAAACTAGTCCCTCTCTTCCTTGCAGATACTCTGAAGGGGGGGAAGAACCCCACAGTCAGCGTATAGTACGGTACTGAAAAACTCTAGGCTAAAAATTCCAAGTTAAAAAATTTTGAGAAAAGAGTGTGTGTGCATACATACACACACATATACACATGCACACACAAAATCCCCCAAAATCTAGAGATGAAAATGGTTAACTTTTTTTTTAAGTTAAAATCTCCAGATAGCTCAAACAGTGCCTACCTTCATACTCTCCTAAATGTTAAAAAAAGAATGAGAAAATTTAGTTCCTGCTCTCTAGCAAGTTATCTCTATTTAGCACTTGAAATTGTCCATTTATAATCCACCTGTGAAAACTAAGCCACAAAGTAGGTAAGTACTAACACCAAATACTAAAATGAATGCCTGAATGAGGATTCTTTTTTTAATGAAAGGGGTGGGGGGAGAGTGAAATAAAAAAGAAAGGTATTTTTATAAGAATTATTTATTTTATTATCATTATTATATTTTTATTTTAATTTGACCAAGAGAAACAGAGAGAGAGAAAGGGAAAGTGAGAAAGCAAGCCTCCAGGTACAGGACTCAAATGATGGTCAGCCATGTGGGGGTCCAGCATCCCAACCACCACACCACCTGCCAGCCTGCCACCACACCACAATTTACCAGCTCTACAAGGATTTTTTTTTTCTCTTTTTAGGTTTTTGCCATAGGGCAAGTGTGCTTGCCAGAGACAGACAGAGACAGAGAGGGACAGTAAGAAATCACCCCACAATGGGGATGGTCACACCACAATCCCTCCTCCATCCTCCTCTCAGGATTTTGGGCATGCATGCACATGCACCTGGCGTGATTTTCAAGTCACCAGGTCCGGCATTCAGACCACAGTTGGCCATGTGGGAATCCAGTACTTTAACCACACCACCTGCAGGTCCTGGACAGGGATTTTTTTAAATCTCTCTCTGACAATCCAAAAGTTTTCTGGAAGTGACATGGGGGTGATGGCAAGTGAGGGATGTTTACCTCTGAAAATCACCAGCCCAAGGTTCCCTGACCTAGCTATGTAGGAATTCTTCTTTTAATATACTCAAACTAAAGGGATGGAGAGGAGGTAGAAAGTTAAGTGTCAAGGACTTAGGTGCTTTACTTCAGGGAAAGGCTGCTATCCCCTCTTCTAGCCAGCACTGACCGTACGACTGACTTGCAATACTCCAAATATATCAAACCTTCATATGCCACTAAACGTTTTTCTATGCTTTACCTTCTCTCTAGAATATCATTTTCCTTCTTTGTTTACGTAATACAATTCATCTGTCAAGGCTTGGTTGAAGCATAGTCTCCAGGAAGCTCCCCATGCTGGCTAAGTAGTGCTCCTATCTACTCTCACACATTTCAATGTATTGTAGTCAAATACGTTTAATGCTCACTGTGGTCTCCCCAGTTAACTGTGGACCTCTGGAGAAAGCTGGGCCATAGCGTTATCTCTTATCCTCACATAAGGCATAGCACACAGTAAATGCATAAGGAATGCTTGCTGAAGGAAGGAGCCAAAGTGACTAGTCAGGATTTAAGATGACTGGCTGGAGAGCTTTGTTTGCATATCGATCTGTAGGTATATAGGAGAGTGTGAAAAGAACACAGCTAAAAGCCAAGGAGTTCTGAATAGGGCTTGAAGCTTGAATGAAAGAGAGACCCACCAGCCAGTACTAAGAGATAAGGAAATAAATAAAAAATTGAATAAAAAAAAAAAAAAAAAGAATATGTACTTTTATAACACCCAGAGCTGAAATTGCGACCTTATGTCATATTTTACAAGGAAGTACTGAAGAGGTAAAAGGAGAAACTATGTGGGACCAGCGGTTAGCATAATGGCTATGTCGCTGGACTCCCATGTAGTTGACCGTGGTTCAAGTCCCGGACCCAGTGGCTTAAACTCACACTGGGCATGTGTGTGCATGCCCAAGATCCCAAGAAGAGAATGGAGGAGAAGGGATTGTGGCATGGCCATCTCCCCTGGGGGGTGATTTCTCGCTTTCTGTCTCTCTGTCTCTCTCTTGCGAGCACACGCACTTTATAGCAAAAACCTCTCCAAAAAAAAAAAAAAAAACGTAGGAACACTGTTATAGTAAAAAATTATCAGAAAAAGCTTATTTTTTCTTTAGAACAGATACAAGAAATCTGAAAAGGTAGGATGAGTAAGGAGAGAAAGAGAAAACTAAAAGGTTCTGGAATCCAGCAGGTGATTCTCTCAAGGTCAAACACAGTATTGTTAAGTTTTCTGGGAGGGTATCACAGAATTATTGATTTTTATATTTGGAAAAGACCTTAGATATCACCTGGTCATGATCTATCCTATAAAGGAATGATTTTTGTAATAGTAATACATTTGCTAAATCAGTTTTAAAAACAGCTTGGAACTATTAAAAGGCCTTAACTTTTTATTATAGCAAAGTAGCACCTGAACCATTTACAAGTATACCACGGCACACTGTTGTCAACCAACACCACTATGCACCTACCGAGCTTTTCTGTCTTCCCCATTCCCACTAAGGACCAATTTCCATTTGCCCCCTTTCCCTGGCCCTGGAAACTCTTCTGTCTCTACGAATGTGACTTCGGTATACACCTCAAGTAAGTGGAATCATACAATATTTGTCCTAAACGGTCTAAGTATATTTTAAAATTAGAGAAACTAGCACCTGAACAAATTTTAAGGTACGACTTTCAAAGCATATGATTCTGTGTACATTTTAAAAATTCTGACACAAAACACAGCCTGTTATTCACATGCTCATATAAGATGCACTGAGTCTGCCCCCAGTAAAATGATTCAGATACTTTTAAAATGGTTAACATTAGAAAACTCACCTGTATAGAACTCCACGTTGAAAATGCTTATTATTATAATTACCACTGACAGCAGCAAGAGATAAAAGATTACATAGGAACTATATAGGTCACTGAAAGAATCTAAAATGCAAGAGAGAAGAATTAGTAAAGTTTATTCCGTCATGTAGTCTGTTCAGTACACTGCAATATAAGGGTCTGAAACACAACTATAGTTTTAATTTGAAAAGTTATCTTTCCTTGAGAATTTAACTGTCTACTGCTGACAGATCTAAAGAAACATCAAATCAAAACTACAGTGGGAGTTATTTAGAGCTGACTGGGTACTTAAATATCACACTAGAGTGTCTTTCAATTGACCCAAACATTGACAACAGATAAAATACTACCATAAGCAAACATTTCATCATGTGAAAAAGAAACATATTTAGTACGATATCAACATATCTTCTTTCTTTTTTGTTAATTTGCCAGAGGGTGCAGCACTTGCCAGAGAAAGAGAAAGAGAGAAAGCACACACAATGGGGTGTGGTCACACACCAATCCCTTCTCTTCCATTTCTCCCCTGCAAGCACACATGCACATATACCCACCATATTTTTCAAGCCACCAGGGCTGGGAACTGAACCATGTAGTTGTCCATATGGGTTCTGGCATAAACAGGGAATAGCAGTTGGAATGGAGGTTAAGGTGGTTGGATCCCACATGGCCAACTTCATGGTTCAAGTCCTGGATCCCGAAGCTTGAAAATCATGCTAGGTGATTATGCATGCATGCCCAAAATCCCAATGGAAGAATAAATCAGAAAGGAATGTAGTATAGCCATCCCCACTGGGGGTTAATTTCTGACTTAATCTCTTTCTGTCTCTCCAGCAAATACACATGACCTATAGCCACCCCCCCCCAAAAAAAAGAAACAGTGTATGTTATGTAAACTTGTGTGTTATGTGTGGGTGTTTTTAAATAATTATTTATTTAATTTTATTTATTATTATTAGTGTTTTTTTTTTTTGGAGAGATTTTCGCTACAGGGTGCGTGCACTCGCCAGACAGACAGAGACAGACATTAAAGACAGAAAGCGAGAAATCACCCCCCAGGGGGATGGTCACGCCGCAATCCCTTCTCTTCCATTCTCCTCTCGGGATCTTGGGCACACACACACACACCCGGCTTGAGTTTTAAGCCACCGGGTCCGGGACACAAACCGCAGTCGACTATGTGGGAGTCCAGCGACATAGCCATTATGCTAACTGCTGGTTCCCTATTATTATTAGTTTTTAATTTGATGAGAGAGAGAGAGAAAGTGAGAAAGCAAACTGCCAGGTCTGAGACTCGAACTCATGTAGTCAGCCATGTAGGAATCCGGTATCTCAATCACCACGCCACTTGCTGGCCCCTGTATCAGCGTTTTTAGACAGGATCTTGCTATATGTCATGACCCTCCTGCCTCAGTTTCCCAAGTAACCTCAAATATGGGTCACCAACCCTGGCTTCTTATGGATACCAGGAATTAAACCTGGGCAACCCACATGGTCTCAGCCTGTCAAGCAGCAGCATCCAGCATACATTACTGCAAATGGGCCTCTTATTTCTCCTTAATAAATCCAATTAGCATCTATATCTAAAGTCGCAGTAACACTTTGTTGGAAAAACATAATCCAGGGACCAGCAAATGGCATAATGGTTACATCACTGGACTCCCAAGTAGTTGACCACAGTTTGAGTCCTGGACCCAGGGGCTTAAAACTCACGCCACGCACATGTGCATGCGTACCTAAGATTCCAAGAGGAGAATGGAAGAGAAGGGATTACAGCATGGCCATCCCCACTGGGGGGATGATATCTCGTTTTCTGTCTCTGTCTCTCTGACACACCCTATAGCAAGAACCTCTCTCTCTCTCAAAAAAAATGTATATATAATCCATAACTTACTTAAATGAGCTGAACTAGAAAACAAAAAACTATGATATCATGTGAAATACATATTATACCATTTTATATAAGGGACCTGAGCATCCCCACACTTTGGTATCCATGGGGGTTCTTGGAATCAATCCCCTATGGATATTGAGGAACAATGCATTCATGTTGCTGAATATATCCACATTTTTAAAAAGTTCAATAATCAGGGGCTGGCAGGTGGTGTGGTAGTTAACGCGCTGGACTCCCACATGGCTGACCACAGATCGAGTCCTGGACCTGGCTTGTTTTCTTACTTTCCTACTTGTTCTATCTCTCTCTGTCTGCCTCTCTCTGGTGAAAGCATGTGTACCATAGCAAACAAAATAATAATAATGACTGATAAAATTAAATAATTCTTTTAAAAAATTATTTATTTAATTTTATTTATTCATTCATTGTATTTCAATTTGACCGAGAGACACACACAGAGAGAGAGAGAGAGAGAGAGAAAGAGGGAAAGTGAGAAAGCAAGCCGCCAGGTCCAGGACGCGAACCGTGGTTGACCATGTGCGAGTGTCCAGGGCCTTAACCACCATGCCACCTACCGACACCCATCAAAGACAAGTTCTAGCACTTTATTTCATTTCAAAGTTTAAAATAGGTATATTTATGCCCCAAAGCATGAACAACAGAAATAAAAACAATAAGTAAATATGTTTGCTGAACAGACTAAGACTTAATAATTATACTACTTTTCTTACTATTATTTTACTTTTTAAATTTACAGTAGGGTGTGTGTGCTCGCCAGAGAGACAGGGAAAATGAGAAAGTATCCCCCAGGGGGATGGCCATGTTGCAATTCCTTCTCCATTCTCCTCTGAGAATTTTGGACATGCACTTGGTATTTTGCAAGCCAATGGGATGGGTCTCGAACTGCACAGTTGGCCATATGGGATCCAGCTGCCTTGACCATCACGCCAGCAGCTGGCCCCAAACCAGTTATTTTTATAAGACAGTGAGTACATATGAGAGAGGGAGAGAGGAAGAGAAGGAGGGAGAGAGAGAGGAGACAGAGATAGAGAAAGATAAGGTGGAGTAAAGAGAAGCACCTTTGACAGTGTCTCATCACACCATGTAGCTGAACTTCCCCAACTCTCCAGCTCCTTAAAATTTTGTGCAACTGCCCATGTGCCCAGTGTTTTCAGCCTCATTCTGAGATGGGACTCCACAGTCTGCATATGGCTTTTAGTCTTGCAGAGCACTCCCATACTCCCGTTACTATTGCACCACCACAGCAGGACCAAAGTCATTTTTTTTCTTTTTGAGAGATTTTTGCTATAGGGCACTCACTGGAGAGCAATAGAGATAGAGAGAGGGGGAAAGTGAGAAATCACCCCCAGGGAGGATGGCCATGCCACAATCCCTTCTCCTCCATTCTCCTCTTGGGATTTGGGGCACGCATGCACACATGCTTGGTGTGTTTTTCAAGCCACCAGGTCAGAGACTCAAACGGCACAGTAGGCCACATGGAATCCAGTGCCTTAACCTCCACACCACCTGTTGCCTCAGCTTTTTTTTAATTGTCAGAGGTTACATGTGGATATGAGAGGGAGGAGGGGAGAGAGAGAGACAGACAGAGAAAGTACCCCTTAATGGAGAATAGTAGTCACACCACAAATCTTTTTTTCTCCATTCCTCCATCTGTCAAGATTCTGGGCACATAAGCACATGTACCCCACATGTTTTCCAGGCTGCCAGGGCAGGATTCAGACCGCAGTCAGTCATGTGTACTACACACAGTACTTGTCTAGCAGGCTATGGAGCTGGCCCAGTTGCTATTATAATTTGGTAATTTAGTTTTCCCTCCAAGATTTTTGAGAGACATTTTAGCCTGTATTTTCCACCTCATCAATTTTTGTGTTTAATTCTATCTTCCCTAGTCTTTAACTCTTTTCCCCTTTACTTTCTTCTCATCTTTTTCTTTTTTTAAAAAAAAATATTACTTATTAATTTTATTTAGACATTCACTTATTCTTTAATATGCCCAGAGAGACAGACACACACACACACACAGAGAAAGAGAGAGAAAGTGAGAAAGCAAGCCACCAGGTCTAGGACTCGAACTGTGGTTAGCCATGTGGGAGTGTCCAGCACCTTAACTACTATGCCACCTGCTGGTCCCCCATCTTTCTTTTCTATTAGCCACAACATAGAAATGAAGTATTAATTTCAGACTTTTTTTGAAAGAGATACATGTGACATTTTCTAGTCACAACTTTAAATAAATAATAGGAACAGTTCTCTTTTTAAAAAAAATACACAATCTCAAAAAACAATGTCAAGGGACCAGCAGATGGCATAATGGCTACATCACTGAACTCCCACATAGTCGACCACAGTTCAAATCTCGGACCTGGAAGCTTAAAACTCACGCAGAGCATGTGTGCACGCGTACCCAAAAAATCCTGAATAAAGAATGAAGGAGAAAGGATTGCAATGTGGCCATCCTCCCAAAGGGGTGATTTTTCACTTTCTGTCTGTCTCTCTGGCGAGTGTACATGCCCTATAGCGAAAAATCTATTTAAAAACAAAATGTCAAAAAAAAGAAAGACAAAAATTAAGTTTCATATATGTGGTCTTCTGATGATCTTTTTGTTCCTATGATCATAGGTTTACTCTCATAGGTTTACTAATCTTATAAGAAAAAGATGGCTTCTGTATGAAGAGAAGGCCTAAAAATTATCTCAAAGTGAGTATTTTTATGTATAATTTAGGCAGTAATTACAAATAAATGATAGGAAAGATAATGTAGTTTCTGTGTTGACAAGTAGGTCCTGTAAGTGTACTTTCCCAGAACTGAATACCACTTACCTGACAACCACTGTACCGGATGAAACAGATCGATGCTGCTGAAAATGATAAATACTGTAGCACTGATGGGCAGAAGCAGCACGGACCAAACAATGCTTGAAACTATCCTCCAGCCCAAAACCTATCATTAAACAAACAAAACCACTCAGTCATGAAGTCGGTTAAATTATTTCAGTTATGCAAATCCTATCTTGTCATACAGGATGGTAATCATTAACGTTTATACCCAGATCATAGTCTATGCAGTGATGGATAAACTCAAATGGTTATCACCACTCTACAATCTTGTAATATCAGTGAACGGATGCTTGCATCAGTCCAGAGTCAGGTGTGATATCAAATACCACATTTTGTGGGAGGAGGGTGGGTGAGACTGTCTTTAGTTTAATAAGTATGTTTTAAAGCACCTTGTCTCTCTAGGTGTAATGGTTACATTATTAAATAATATGTCAAGGCTGTATATCATTTTCTAATAAGAAATTTTTTTTTTTAATTTAACTTTATTTATTTATGTATTTATTTCAATTTGACCAGAGAGTGACAGAGTGAGAGAGAGAAAGTGAGAAAGCAAGCCGCCAGGTCCGGGACTCAAACTGCAGTCGGCCATGTAGGAGTCCTGCGCCCTTAACTGCTATGCCACCTGCCAACCCCAAGGCCATATACATTTTATAGGAACCGTCTATATACTGTAGTTGTATTTATGATGATTAGATATGTGCTCCTTAACTGGGCAACTACTGTGTCTTAGCATTATTATCATGTCTAAACTGCCAGTGCCTATCATTTGCCAGGATCTTCAAAAAATTAGTAGAAAATGTCTATTATGAAAAAAACTATCCGTGAATCTCAAAAATTTTTGAACCAAAATAAAGCCATCCTACTTTCTAAAAATATTTTTTTCTCAGACCAGCAGGTAGCATGGTGGTTAAGGTGTTGGACTTCCACATGGCCAACCATGGTTCAAGACCTGGGCCTGGTAACTTGCTTTTTCACTTTCTCTCTCTCTGGTGAAAGTACGTGTCCTAGAGTAAATTTTAAAATAACAGTAATAAGCCAGCAGGCAGCATGATGGTTAAGGGCGGTGGACTCCCACATGGCCAATTGTGGTTCGAGTCCTGGACCTGGCGGCTTACTTTCTCACTTTGCCTCTCTCTCTGTTTCCCTCCCTCTCTCGTTAAATAAAGTTAAATAAAATAATTATTTTAAAATAATAACAAAACGAAAAAATAATTCTTTTTTAGAAATAAATGAATAAAAGTACATTTTTTTCTTTACCCATGATACAGGCCATGCCCACACAAAAGAAAAGAGAGGGAGAAGATGAGCACCCTCCACAGGGTCTGGTCATGATTCCCTTCTTCCATTGGATACCAGGCACTTGCACATACGCCCAGTGAGTTTCAGGTCAACCAGGCTGGAAACTGGAACAACTGTTACCATGCAGGATCCAGCTCCTCTTCAGCAGCGCTGTGTCAGAAACTAGCCCTAAACTTGCACCTTAATTCCATTTTTACACCAAATTTTCCCCTCATATAGCAGGCACGAGATTTATTGTTGAGTAAATGAATACAAGAAGAGATAATGAGGCATAGGGACAATCAGGTTTATGTTCAGGAGGTAAAATATCCTTGTGTTTACAGTGTGAAGATGGAGCGGAGGCGATATGATCTAGACAGGAGACAGCACAGTTTGGAGGCAGCCCCAAAGATGTCCTTCTCGGAACGAAGGCAACCACAAAGGAGAAACGAAAAAGAACAACCAGCAGCCACGTTTCTGAAGTAGACAGACACTTCTATAGGACTGCGTGACTGGTAATATGGACGGCAAAGAACCGGGAAGACTTCAGGACCTGAAAGTGTTTAGCCCGGAATATAAAGGAGATGGCAGTACACGGGGCTAGACGCACTATTCCAAAGCGACCCCAGTCCTCTCTCTCTTTCCTTTCCCAGAGTCGAAGTTCTGTTGATGCAACTTCAACCTCAGCTCAGTCCCACAGCGCACACTGAACTCCTAGAATACTCGCTCTGCTGGCCTGGTCCCCAGCCTCTGCTAAAGGCCACCAGGCTTTCCCCAATTCTGGATATTCCTTCCCACTTTCTACCCCAAGGTATCCATAAGTTATTTTGTATCTGCTACACAGACCATCTTTCCACGAGCCCCTCTCCACCCTTTCCTCCAACTTCCATTCTGGGCATCCTTCGCACTCAGACCAGCTTGCACTCAGACCCCCACTCCCAGCCCGTACCAGACAGAACCAGCCCCCCGGCCCCCCACACACAGACACACTTCCTCCTTCCCTCCCGCCCTCGGTGGTCCCCTCCCCACGCGCAGTCCCCACGTTGCCCTCGGACCGGTCCCTCCCCGCCCGGCGCGCACGCGCAAAGTCCGCTGGCCCAGCCCGCCCGGAGCAGTGCCCGCCACAGTGCTCGCTGCACTCACGCGCCACACGCCCCCCGCCGGCGCAGGGCCCACTCATAGTCGTGACCATGGAGATGGCGGCCCCCACTCTAAGGAGTGCTGAAGACAGGGCGCCTGCCCGCCACGGCAGTTCAAAGGAAGGAAGGCCCCAGGAGGACCCCGTTGGGGCTGCCTCAAACGCTGCCTGAACGAAGCCCGGCCCAGGTTCCGACCCATCCATTCGAAGCTTCGTCTGAACAGTCTCAACGGGCAAGAATTGTCTTGCAGACATGTCACCCGAAGTGGTCTGTGACTCCAGGGACCGCCCTCTGGAGTCCAAAAGGCCCTTCCGAAACAGGGCCCAGCGAGGGGCCAGGAACAGGGGGCGGCGCTGCATGCTGGGAACTGTAGTCTCGACGTCCCTCTGAGCCCAAGAAGAAACGTTGCATTCTGGGACTCGGAGTTCCAAAATAGGGCATGCTGGGAGTCGAAGTCTTTCCAGAGGGGCCTTGAGGCATGCTGGGAATTGTAGTCTTTCATCAAACCGGTAATGGCCAAGGTTTTGATCAGAATTCTGCAATAAGAAAGATACGGCAAAATGATTTACCCTCACCTTTCTGGATTATCAACAGCTTAAAAGTGAAACCAAAGGCTGTTATGGTCGTCTTCACCAAAGGTATTAAGTAATTTACTGAAATAGAAAAATCTAGATATGTGTTTAGTTTCATAAGATCTGGTTTCTGTAAATAGTTCCAGCTCTGTCACTTGCTAAGTGAAATGTCTTGATCCTCCTTGAGCCTCCATTTCTTCATCTGTAAAATAAGGATAAAAATACGGGACCAGCAGATGGCGTAATGGTTACACCACTGGACTCCCACATAGTCAACAGTGGTTCGAGTCCTGGACCCAGTGGCTTGAAACCCACCCAGGGTACATATGGGTTTTGCCCAAAATCCCTAGAAGAGAATGGAGAAGGGATTGTGGTGTGGTCATCCCCACCTGAGGGTGATGTCGTGCTTTCTGTCTCTCTCTGGCACACACATGCTCTATAACAAAAATCTCTCTCAAAAAAAAAAAAGGATAAAAATAAAGATAACATCTAGTGATATTGTGAGGATGTAAATAATATGCTATACAAATGTGATCATTGATTTCCTGCCAGTAAGGAAAAGAAGATTTCACCAACACACATGCACGCGTGCACACACACACACACACAAACTAGAGGATTAGTCAAAATCATAGAAACTTGTTTTGTTCCTATTGGTAGAGACTATCAGTTGTCTACCTTAGTATCTACTCTCCCATTCCTTCTTAATAATGGAACCCTCGATTTTTTAGAAGTTTTTGCCTTAGGGTGCATGTGCTCACCTGAGAGAGAGACAGACAGAGACAGCGAGACAGAAAGTGAGAAATCACCCACCAGAAATTACTTGTTCATTCTCCTCTTGGGATTTTGGGCATGCATGAACATGTGCCCAGCGTGATTTTCAAGCCACTGGATCCGGGACTCCGACCATGGTCAGCCATGTGGGAGTCCAGCAACATAACTGCCATACCATATGCTATCCCAGAAATCTTCAATTTTTAAGTGGACACAGTCACATTTCTTAGCCTCCCTTGCAGCTAGGTGTGGCCAGGTAAGTTCAGGTCAATAAAACATAATCAAAGTATTGTATCATAGCTTCCAGAAATCTCTTAAAAGACACAGAGTTCCTGATCCTTGCCTCTTCTTAATCTCTTCCTCCATACAGCTGCTTGGATTTTGGATGCATTGGCTGGATTCTAGCATCATGCTGGGCCAAAGGTCACACTACCAGACCATGAAGTACATAGCTCAAAAGAGACCTTTTTTTTTTTTTTTTAGAGATTTTTGCTATGGGATGCATACACTCGCTGGAGAGACAGAGGGAGACAGAAAGCAAGAATCACCCCCTAGGGAGTGGCCACACTTGCAATCCTTTCTCCTCCATTCTTCTCTGGGAATTTTGGGCATGCATGCACATGCACCTGGCATGAGTTTTAAGCCGCTGGGCCCAGAACTTGAACCGCAGTCAACTATGTGGGAGTGTAAGCAACATAACTATTACACCATCTGCTGGCCCCAACTGCATCTATTTTAATAGAACTTATCACAATATTAAATCATCTTGTGTAATTGTCTGTTTATTTCTTATTGTCTGACTTCCCATTAATATGCAAGCTGCACAAAGGCAGGGACTTTGTCCTATTTATCACTGTTTCCTGAAGTTCCCTTCATATTTTAATTGCCAGAAGGTACATATACTCACAAAAGAAAGAGGGAAGAAAGAGAGAGGAAACACTCCCCTCCGCATGGGGTGTGGTCATGCCACAATCCTTTTCCCTCCATGTCTCCATCCTATAAGGATTTGGGGTACGCATGCAGACATGCCTGGTATGGGTTTTATTTATTTTCCCAAGCCTCCTGGTCCAGATTTGAACTACAGTCAGTCATGTGGGATCTAGTTCCCTATACACAGAGCTTAACTGCTGAACTACTGAGTCAGCTCTGAATGTTTAATGAATAAAATAAGGAATGAATGGATGTCCATTCAAGAGAACAACCTTTGATATTTTAATCAAAGAGGAATTCCATGCAGGAAATTGATAACTAAAGTGTTGGAAGGACTGAAAGAGTACATGGGGAGAGAGAACAGGGTTGTCGCAAACAAAAGAAAGGAATTACTGCCCAAGTGTCAGGAAGCTACTCCATCCTCTACATCAGGGCCCGTGAGACCACATACAATGCTGCTGCTGAGGGTGGCGCACTCTGCCCTGAGAACCTCTGCATTGCTACTGAGTAGGAACTTAGGAGCTGGTACTCAGTAGCAATTGAAACTGCCACAGGTACTCACAACCACCTGCTGTTCTCTCAGACTTAGTGTTTTCGCAATAATGAGACCATCTTGCAAGATGCTGTATTAAATGAGATTTTGCTCCTAAGTTATCTGGCACACTGAAGAAAGTTTACAGGCTTTGGAGGTCAGGTAAACATGAGTATGAATATCTGCTGTGACAAGTAGTAGCCGTGGGGTCTTGGAAGTCACTTTATCTTTCGAATTGTACAGAAAAGAAAGATTTAGGCACCAGCCCTGTAGTCCAGTGGCTACCATGGTTCAAATACAGGCCACGGCAACTTGAAAAACATGCTGGAGGGAGGCAGCAGGTAGTGTGGTGGTGAAGGCACTGGACTCCCACATGGCCGACCATGGTTTGAGTCCTAGACCTGGTGGCTTGAAGCTTACGCTAGGCACGTGTGTGCATGTCCAAAATCCCAGGAGTAGAATGGAGAAGGGGTAACTGCATGGCCATCCCATGATTTCTCACTTTCCCTGTCTCTGTCCCTCTCTGGCAAGCACACACGCCTTTAAAAAAAGAATATGCTAGGCATGTGCATGCATGTACAAAATCCTGACAGGATGGAGAAATAGAGGAAGAAGGACCGTGATGTGATCACGTGCCACTGGGAGCACTTTCTTTTTCTCTCTCTTTCTCTCCCGCGAGTGCATGTCATAATAGCCTCCAGCAACCCACCAATTAAAAAAAAAAAAAAAAAAGACCAAGGAACCAGCAGGTGGCATATAAGGTGCTGGATGTGGCCATGCCCCCTGGGGAGTGATTTCTTGCTTTTTGTCTCTCTGTCTCTTCAGTGAGTGCGCACACCATATAGCAAAAAAGTCTAAAAAGAAAAAAGGAAAAGAAAGGTTTTTTGTTTGTTTGTTTGTTTGCTTTAAGATTTTTTGCCATCGGGTACATGCATTTGCCAGAGAGAGATGGGATGGGGAAGTGTAGAAAAAAAGGATTATGATATGACCATACCCCACTGGAGAATGTCCTCTCTTTTTCACTCCTGTGTGCACATGCTCTCTAGCCAAAATAAATAAATTAATTAATTAAATTAAATTAATTGGGCTGTTCCCATAGTACAGTGGTTAAGCACTATGCATAGGGAACCAGATCCCACATAGCCAATTGTAGTTCAAATCTTGGACCCAGTGGCTTAAAAAATACTTCAGACACATGTGCATACATGCCCAGAATCCTCATAGGTTAAAAAAATAGAAGAAAAGAGATTGTTGTGACCCACCTCATTGATCTGTTTCTCTTTCTCCTCTCGAATGTACACATCCACTTTTTTTTTTTTTTTGGAGAGGTTTTCGCTATAGGACACGTGCGCTCACCAGACAGAGAGAGACATAGAGACAGAAAGCGAGAAATCACCCCCCAGTGGGGATGGTCACGCTGCAATCCCTTCTCCTCCATTCTCCTCTCAGGATCTTGGGCACGCACGCACACGCGCCCGGCGTGAGTTTTAAGCCACTGGGTCCGGGACACGAACCGTGGTCGACTATGTGGGAGTCCAGCAACATAGCCATTACGCTAACTGCTGGTTCCCCTCGAATGTACACATCCAATTTTTAAAAATTAAAAGAAAAGACAGTCATTATTAAAATGGAGGTTGATATAGAAGGAACACAACAGTAATGCCATAATTGTTATGGAAGACTCAGGAGACATCATCTCAAGAAAAACGGAAAGTTTATTGAGAGAAAGAGCCCCAGGAGTCTGAATCCAGTTGTGCTTCAGTCCTCTAGTGTGTGTGTGTGTGTCTGTGTGTGTGTATGTGTGGGGTGGTGTTATACGGTAATCAAGCTAGTGTGACTGATATGCAGGGAGTTAGGCACAGGGCGCTGAGCATACATGAAACATTTGGTGGGTCTTTTTGATCCATCTCTAGGCAGTTAGCTCTCCTAGTACTTGCTTTGGGTCTTTATCAGCCACTTCCAGGGTCAGTGTGACCTTGCAGTAGCAGCATCTGGAGTATGGGCTCTGGCCAAGACCAATTATGCAGAAGCTTGGCCTTGGTTCCTGGTCAGTCCTGAAGCAATACCAAATGGTGCTCAGGAGAGTTTTTACTGTACAATAACAAAGTATTTTTTTTTAAATAAAAACAAAAACAAAGGAATTTTTTTTCCTTAAAAGTGACAAAGAAGATCTAACAATCTAACATATGAAAAATGGGAGTCCTGAAGAATCTGGACTCTCATCACACTTTCACCCAGAGTACAAGGATGTGGGACATGCCTTTAGTGTGTTTTCAAATTACCCTAGTATTTTTAAATTAGCCATCTCTTTTCTAAAATTTTCATTTCAAAACCTTCACTTGGGTAGTCCTTGATATTGTATAGCCCGGAAAATATATAACGGATGGTGATGGCAAATAATCCTTCTTTCTCCACCTCTGTAACCTGTTTCATTTCTAATGCAGTTATTCCAAGAGAGGAGGGTGCTAACTCTTAATAAAATTTGATTAGTTATTTGCAATGGCAAAATAAAAAGCATTTACTTTGAAAGACAGCTATTTGGACATCCAACGTCTCTTGTGCAACAGTATTTTGGAGAGTCAGGCAAAAAATCAATTCAAAACACATGGATGGTATTTCCCCATGGGGCATGGAGAACACATGTCCCAGGATAAAACTTGAGCCTTTTTTAAAAAAAGCAAAAACAAACAAACTCTAAGCTTTGGGGAAGGTTTAAACAGCTCAGTAAATTGAAAAGAGTCAGGTTCCTCCTCCTTCCTTTGATGCTCCCTTTGAAGCCGGGTTACACTCTTTATTGGATGTTTGGTGGGGTGTCAGCTACTTCTTGTTTCTCGGGGTAAGATCCCAGAGGAAAAATCAATGAAGAAAGAGTCAGGAGAGAAAACCCACACACTACAAGCAAAGTGTGTGATCCAGGCTTCAAAAACGTTTCTTCCCCTCCCTTTTGAATTCCACTTAGGTTGTTTACAAAGGGTTATCTAACCTCAGTATATGACAAAGAGACAGTAAAATGAAATCTGTGATGGAGAGGGGATGAGGCAGGGTCACAGACTTTTCACATGAATATGTAAGTGCCTTCAAGGCAATAGGTAAAGGCTTTGGAATCAGACAAATGCAGATCTGAAGAATCCTAGCTCCCCGCTTAATAGCAGGTTAGCGTGGGGGCTGGCAGGTGGCGTGGTAGTTAAGGCGCTGGACTCCCACATGGCTGACCATGGTTCAAGTCCCAGACCTGGTGACTTGCTTTCTCATTCTCTCTTCTCTTTCTCTCTTTGTGTCTCTCCCTGGTCATACTGAATAATAATAATAATAATAAATAAAATATTATTTAAAAAAATAGCAGGTTAGCTAGAGTAACTCAATCTCTTGGAGCCTCAGTTTCCTCAACTGTAAAAAGGGGCTGAAGGAGGCACATTGTCATTTCTATCTATGGCCTATCTAACATGAGCCCTTTTACCCACCTTGCAAATAATGGATTAGTATTAACATTGTTTACCAGTGCTCCCCACTCCCCACCCATCAGGCACACACTAGCACTGCACTTTATAGCCCTCTCTGAAGTTAGGTAAAATCAGGTGACAGTTCAGCCAATGAATTAGAGCATAAGTGAGGTGTCAATTACAGGTGGGGGATCTGATCTTCACTGGGAGGGCTCTCTTCCTCTGGCACAGTGGCCAACAATATTTGAAACGATGGCTGCTTCATCACCATGGGTGACTGAGTAAGGACACGGCATACAGTCTCCCTGCCAATCATTGATGAACTTGTAACTTGAGCAAGAAGTGAAACCTTGTTTTTTAGTTTTTTTGTGTGTGTTCTTTTTTAGAGAGTTTTTTTTTTTTGGGGGGGGGGGACAGCCTAACTGCAATCCCTTCTCCTCTGTTCTCCTCTTGGGATCTTGAGCACACATGCACACATGCCCAGTGTGAGTTTTAAGCCACCAGGTCCAGAACTCGAACTGCAGTCGACTACGTGGGAGTCCAGCCATGTGATCCTAAAACCTTATTCTTTCAAGCTGCTGCTATTTTGGAGTTATTGTAGAATAACTAAACCTATGCCAAACAATGCCAACAGTAAGTCAATAAATGCAGTTACTTGAAGAGGATTGAAAAAGTCCTTGAAAACTGTGTTACGTATCACTTTATTAACTCACCCCAAGCCCCAGTGCTCACTAAGCGATGAGTATGGGCCAGGCACTGTGCTGGGTCCTGTGGGGGTGTAGACTGGAGCACAGATCCTGCTGTCAGGACCTTACTATCTATTATAACATATGGGGCCCATCCTTTTTAAAAAAAATATTTAACTTTATTTATGTATTTTAATTTGACCAGAGAGGGACAGAGGGAGAAAGAAAGTGAGAAGACAAGCTGCCAGATCCAGGATTCAAATTGCAGTCGGCCATGCGGGAGTCCAGTGCCCTCAACCACCATGCCCCACCGGCCCCAATGGGGCCCATCTTTAGACACTCACTCGCCTCAACCCTACTGTCAACCAACGCATCTAGTAGAACTGGTTATCAGTTTTTAGTTTAAAAATTGTTCTTAGAAAATTGATGAAGGTGAGACGGTAAGTCTAAAATTGATCTGTTAACAGATCCATCACCAACACTTGATGTTTTCAAAATAATTATTTATTTGATATTATTATTATTATAATTTGACCAGAGAGAGAGAAAGGGAAAGTGAGAAATCAAGCCACCAGGTCCAGGACTCAAACTGCAGTTGGTCATGTGGGAATCCAGCATCTCAACCACCATGCCACCTGTTTGCCCCCATGTTTTTGTTTTTTTGTGTGTGTCTGTGCGTGTGCTAGAGGGTGTGTGCACTTGCCGAGAGAAAGAGAGAGGGAGAGGAGAAAGCACCTTCATGGGGAACAGTCATGCTGCAATCCCTTGCCTTCCATCCCTCCCTCCCTTGGGGGTTTTGGCCACATATGCATGTTCATTCGACATGCTGCTCAAGTTGCTGGAACCACACAGTCATGCAAGACCTGATTATCCTAACCACCAGGCCACAGACCCAGCTCCCCCTGTTTTCTTCTGCCTTCACGCCTCTGCATAAGCTGGATTCTCTGCACCTTCCAATTCCCTGTCTTCAACAAAGCTCTTCCCATTAAACCCTTCATTCTAAAAATTCTGTAAATCTACCACTCATTGGATTCGTCCTGCTCTCAGTAGCATCATAAAGAAAGAGCAAATTTTAGAACCACATGGTCCTAGGTTCAAGTCCTAGTTTTGTCCCTTCCCAGCTGAGAAAGCTGGAGACCTCACTTTGGTTAAACACTTAGTATATACTGGACACTATAAATTACATTACAAAAACTTTAACTGTCACGCTTGCCCTTCAAGACCGATTATACATAGAATCATTTATAGACAAAGCTAAACCAGACAGGTAAAGTGAAGCAGAGATTCACCTTTCTATCTGTTTGAATATTTCAACTTTTTTTTTTTAGGATTTGCCATAGGGAGCCTGTGCTCACCAGAGAGAGAGAGAGAGAAAGAGAGAGAAAGCAAGTGAGAAATCCTCCCATGGGGGGATGGCCATGCTACAATCCCTTCTTCTCCAGTCTTCCCTAGGGATTTTGGGCAGGCGAACACACATGCCTGGAGTGATTCTCAAGCTGCCAGGTCCAGGACTCAAAACCGCAGAGCCGGCCATGTAGGACCCAGTGTCTCAACCTGCACGCCACCTGCTGCCCTAAAAGCATCTTCAATATACCTGTAGATCTAATTTGCCTATCTTCTGTATTTGTCACTCTCTCCTGAATTCTTTGATTTTTCTTTATTCATTCTGGAATGGAAATTTTTTCTTTCTTTTTACTTTTTATAACATTAAGATATTCCCTGCTCTGTACATACTCACTCTATTCATGATTATTCCTTCCAGTTCAGTCTTCATTTGTGAAATGAGTTTTTCCTTTCTTTCCAATTCTTTCCTGATTTGTTACCTATTTTCTGCTTTATTATTCTGATTAGTGCTTTTCTTTCATATCTGGTACCATTTTCATATATATAAAATATTTTATTTTGGTATTAAGTTGTGGTTCTCTGATTTTATGGGCATGCTTTCTTACATTAGGGCTGTCATTCTGCTCCATGTTTTCATTCTTCTCATCATAACTTCATAATGAGATTGGACTGCAGTCCTTCTTGTTGCTGTTTCCATGACATTCATTTTTCTACACATTTATGAGAGAACTGAGTCAGGATAGCGTTCCTAAGTTCAAGCCCTGTAGCTTCCTTTTATGAGTTTTCATCAAGTGTTCAAAAACAGACTTCACTCTTCCAAGCTCTCTTGGCTCTGTTCCCCTCCCTCACACGTCTCTGGACTGCTCTTTTTGCATTAAATATCCCTGGTCTCCCATATTTGTATTCTACTCCTTACAATCTCTTGTCAGGTGTCCTGGGAAGTAGCTCTGGTTGGTTTGAGAGCTCACAGGGCTCGGATTGTTGCAGCTTTTTCAGGCCTTGCTTTGGACCCCTTGTACTCACAGGCTGCAGACTGGCTTATACCAACCTCTGGCCCAGCTGCCAACCTCCTATTGGCCCACTGTACTTTCCAGCGAGGATCTGTTGGCTATGTGAGAGTTCTCTTATTTTCTTTTTTTTGCAGGGGGTAGAGGTTTTTGCTATAGGGTGTGTGCGCTCACCAGAAAGAGAGAGACAGAAAGCGAGAAATTAACGCACCAGGGGGGATGGCCACACTGCAATCCCTTCTCCTCTCAGGATCTTGGGCACACATGCACATGCGCCCAACGTGAGTTTAAGCACGGGGTCCGGGACTTGAACCGTAGTCAACTACATGGGAGTCCAGCAATGTAGCCGTTACACCATCTGCTGGTCCCAGGAGTTCTCTTATTTTCAGATTTCTGTTGCTTATTTTTGCTTCCATCTTTGAAAATACGGGTATTGTGCAAAGTCTTCAGCTGCTGGTAGTTTTCATCTACTTGAATTCTTGGGTTTGTGAGGATACCTTGTTACCTTTGTTGTAGATGCTGTCCATAGGTTTTCGATTTTGCTATCCCAATAGCTGTGTTTTTATGAGGGGATTAAGGGAATTTCAAAAACTGTGCTAGTGTTACTACCATCTTCCCAAAATTCAGTTCTCTCAATTCTTTATATGATGCCAACTCATGAAATGAAACAGACAATATGCCAACCACAATCCATGAACTTTATTCTAACGGCAGGGATTCCAAAATGTAGTAATCTATCTAAAACCCACTCTCCCTCTTTTACCAATACTATGCTGGTTTATTCAGGGTAGCAGAGTAAACAATTAAAGAGCATTTCCCAGCCTCCCTTGGAACTAGGGGTAACCGTGTGATATAGTTCTGGCCAATAAGATATAAGCAGAAGATCATGGGAGGGGCTTTACAGAAAGCTCACTAAAGGGCAGGCCAATTCAACTGACCTACTCCTTTTGACTTTTCTCTTCTTCTACTATTTTTATTTTTTTAAGAATTATTTTTTATTGGGGCCAGCAGGTGGCATGGTGGGTAAAGGTGCTGGACTCCCACATGGCCAACTGTGGTTTGAGTCCTGGACCTGAAGGCTTGCTTTCTTGCTTCCCCTCTCTCTTTCACTCTGTCCTTCTCTGGTCAAATTAAAATAAATACATACATACATACATACATACATACATACATACATACATACATATATAGCGTTAAATAAAATAATTCTTAAAAAAAAAGAAGCCACTGGGTCCAGGACTTGAACCACGGTTGGCCATGTGGGAGTGTCCAGCGCCTTAACCATAATGCCACCTGTTGGTCCCTAATCTTTTTTATTTTTTTAATTTGCTATAGTGGTATGTGTACTCTCCAGAGAGAAACTGAAAAAGTACACCCATAGGGGAAGGCCATGCTGCAATGTCTTCTCCTTTACTCTCCTCCTGGGATTTTCAGCTAGCATACACACGTACCCAACATGTTTTCAAGCCACCAGGTCCAGGACTTGAACCACACAGTCAGCCACATGGAATCCACCTTTACCACCACGCCATTGGCTGGTCTAGACTTTTCTCTTCTTGTTGCCTGTCAAATTCTAAGTTGAGCTGGAGAGAACTGAAACGAGGTATTGGAATAAAATAGTGAAATTAAAACAAGTGAAAATGAAAGCAGCCGTCGAGCCTTACATACATCACTTACTGCTAAGGTATAATAAGACATGAGGAGACAAAGTGCTGGCTCCCCTAATGCTCCAACTTCCCCCCATGGAAAAGTGCCAGGCAAGGGTTAAGGGCATCAGGGCAGGCATGGGATGTCTCACTGCCAAGAGATCCCTAAACAAAAGGCTCCTGCCATTTTATGACCTCAGTGCTAGGGAGGGGAAGGGGGAAGTGCTAGGCATGGAAAAGTACTAAATGCTGAGATAGACTGGAGGAAAGTGTCTTTAAGGCCCTGTCCTTCACCTTGGTAAGATGATCTTGGCAGAGACACCTGAGAGAGACTGGCGATGGCCTGGTGATGGTCTGTCCCCCAAAGTTCCATGTTTTGAAATGTGATGTTAGGAGGTGCTGAACACCTAGTGGGTAGTGACTGGATCATGGTGATGGCATCGTGAAGGCAAAAGTCTCATGAATACTAATGACATCTTTCAAGACCCAGTGAGTTCTACCTGTTATAAAAAGGGGTTAGTTCTCTTGAGAGCTGGTTGTTATAAAAAAGAGAAAGTGCCATCAGCAGCTTGGTCTCTTCTCTGCCTGCACCTACTATCCACTGTGCTTGCATCGGCCATGTCACAGGCAGGTCTGATGCCAGGCCTGTGCCTTCACTTTCTAGCTGCCAGAATTGTGAGGTACTAACCCTATTTCTTTATGAACGATCCAGTCTCAGTTATTTCTCCTAGCAATGCAAAAATGGACTAAGAGAGACCTGAAGCCAGGCTCTGCACTAATACTTTCTGGAGACAGAACAGGAGGTATCTTAAGACTAGATGATGACAAATCCACACTAAGGACTGCCAAGCAGAATTAGCAGTTCGAGTCCCAGACCTGGTAGCTTGTTCACTCTCTCTCTCTCGCTCTCTCTTTCTCTCTCTCTCTCTCTCAGTGAATGCACATGTTCTATAGCAAAATAAATTGTAATAATAAACAAAATTACATTTTAAATAATTCTTTAAAAGAAAATGAAATCCTGGCCACTTTACTGCAGAATACCTAAACATAGTTTTACCAAAATTTACCTGTCATACCAACTTAAAATTACTTAGTGGTAACCAAATTCCTCCTAAAATGTGGACAAAACATTTATAGGCTTCTGTTCAATATGAGAAAAATCTTGCTTCTTTTTGTAAGAGAAGAGGAGGCTCCAGGTAGCTGCAGAGGGGAATCCACAGGACCACAGTGATCAGAATCACTGCTTTGGGTAGCAGGAGTAAAAGAGCAAGCCAGGGCGGCAGTAGAGGGTGACTGGGAGGTACAGACACCATGTTCTCTGAAGAGCCCTTGAGGACAACAGAATTATTTGGCTGGAGAAGACCCAGGGGGCACAAAAACAGTTGTCTTCAAACATCCGAAATTAATAAAGAAGGAAAGGCCGAGGCTTGCTCTCTGAGGCCTAGGGGGAGCACTAGGACCGCCATGAAAGCTGCACCAGCACTTCCACCAGAACAGGTTGTTCAGAGGAAAAGGTTGCCTAGAGAGCCCGAGGCAGCAGCTGCTGAGCAGCCATCACTGGGCTACAAGCTCCATGAGGACAGGAAGCTTGTCTGTTTGGTCCTCTGTGCTGGCTCCAGTACCCAGAAGAGTGCCCAGCAAGTAAGAGGCGTGCAGTGTGACTCATTAAGTAAATGAATGAGGGTAACCCGGCATCCGACAGAAAGCCGGCCAAGGTGACTTAAATTCCCTGTGGCCCGAATTTGTGATCATCGTCCTTTATCTACATGATCCACCTTTTCAGTCCAAATATGTCTTTGCAGCTGTCTCAAATCCATAGGGAACACTCTTCCAAAGAGGACAGCAGACGTGGCAAGGAATCAGCAATCCTGACGCGCCAGAGTGCAGCCTCCCAGATAGCTTGCCCGGTGAACAGAAAGTATGAAAACGTACCTTTGCAGTATCACTGCTTCTCCCTCTAACGCACTCTGGCCAAGGAAGTCATGCCACCTTGAAAAGGCCCTCCAAGTGCCCTTAGAGGATTTCCTGTCAAAATGGGTTATAAATGAACATGTTCTTTAAACCCAGTGTGCCACACTTGCAGAGAAGGAAAATTCAGATGTCCATCTTAACCTACAACCCTAACGCTAGCACATTAAATTGGATTCGCAAGAGCCTCCAGCATGCTAAAGATAAAACAGGAAGGTAAAACTTGAGGTCAAAGTCACAAAATACAGACACAGACATTATATGAGGTATTTATTTTGCAACCATTAGGTTCAGTTGTCCAGTACTAGGTTATCAAAGGCAAATTTTCCAGTTCCCAATTAATCCCAGCCAGAATTTATATGGTTTGGCTACTTTAGGATGGCAAGTATCTAGAGAGAAGGGGATTACTGTTCTAGTCCATCCTGCTGCTAAAAGCAGAAAACACATGAAACTGAGTGATTTATAAAAATAGGTTTATTCAGCTTATGGTTTAGAGGTCCAAAGTCCGGGGCCCTCTCTGGTGGGGTTCTTGTGGCTGCATTCCAACATGGCAATGGGCAGGGGAGTGTTGTCTGTGTTCCATGTGTGTCTCTCTTACAAACCCATCAGAATCCAATCATTAATAACCTTAATCCTACCTAATCTCATCCCAAAGGCCCCACCTTTCAACAGCATACTCTGACCATAATTAAGAGGTTTTCACCCTCTTAATCCCATTACAATGGCCCAACATAAAACTTTTCAACACACATCAGACTACAGCGATCACCCAGGTAATCTGCACATAATTCAGGGAAAGGACATCAGATGGCAGGATGGGGCTGTTTCAGGTATCAAGGGTGGATCTACGGTGAAGCATGTCACAAGACTGTGAGAGACAAATGGAAGGCCAGCTGAACACGCCTAACCCACCCCCTCCCATTTCATTCCAAATCAGCACACAGTCACTGGCCAGCAATGGTGAAAAGAAGAGCTCAAAGACACAGGTGCCGCACATTTCATTTCTGTTCAATAAACAGGTGATGGGGCTCCAGCGTGGCACCATCCAGATGTCGGACTTGTGCCATTCCAGCAGCTTTCCTACCGGCTTTGGTCAGCGTAATTTCCCGTAGTGGATGCCATGTCCGAAAGAACCACAGTCCACAAACATAAAAGAGAACTGAAAAACACAAAGCATATTTTTCAAGATAAAAGTCCCCTCTACAGAAAGAAGCTAAACTGTAGAAAAAAGTGTTTAGTTATGTTTAGAGACAGAACTTCAATACCAGAGCAGTTTGCCACCACCTCCTTCCAAAATCTTGAGCCTGGAGGCCAGCAAGTGTCGTGGTAGTTAAGGCACTGGACTCCCATATGCCCAACAGTGGTTCAATTCCCAGGCCTGCTGGCTTGCCTTCTCACTTTCCCTCCCTTTCTCTCTCTCTCTCTGGTGAGCACACATGCCCTTAAACAAATTATTAGGTTGTTGGAAAAGTTATGACACATTTTTGCATAGAAAAACATAGAAAAATACATCATGACTTTTCTAAAACTTAATAGAAAAAAATAGTAATGAAAAATAAGATTACATAATTCTTTTTAAAAATATTTAATTTAATTTATTAATTTATTTTAATGTGATCAGAGAGAGAAAACCTGAGAAAGCAAGCCTCCAGGTCCCGGACTTGAACCATGGTCAGTCACATGGGAGTGTCCAACGCCTTAACCAACACTCCATCAGCTGGTCCCAAATTAATAATTATTTATTTTAACTTTATTTATTTTAGTTATTTATTTTAATCTGACCAGAGAGGGGCAGAGTGAGAGAGAGAAAGAGAGAGAAAGTGAGAAAGCAAGCCACCAGGCCTGGGACTCTAACTGGCCTCCGCCATGTGGGAGTCCAACACCCTTAACCACCACGCCACTTGCCAACCCCCCAAATTAATAATTCTTAAAAAAGAAAAAAATAAACAAACAAAAAACACCTGGAACCCAGAGTCCTGATTTCTGTGTTTAAAATGCAGATTACTGGGGCCAGCTGGTAGCATGGTGGTTGAGGTATTGGACTCCCACATGGCCAACCAGGGTTCGAGCACCAAAACTGGTGGCTTGCTTTCTCACTTTCCCTCTCCCTCTCTCTCTCCAGTCAGATTTTAAAAATAATCACAATCAGTACAATTTAATAAATATTTCTTTAAAAATCGCAGATTACTGGGGGCCAGCAGGTGGCATGGTAGTTGAGGCACCAGACTCCCTCCCACATGGCCAACTGTGGTTTGAGTCCTGGACCTGGTGGCTTGCTTTCTCACTTTCTCTTTCTCTGGTGAGTGTATGTGCTCTATAGCAAATTAAAATTAATAATAAATAAAATAAAATAAATAATGCTTTAAAAAACAAAACACAGATTACTTTGAGAGGGGAGATGACATTTAAAAGGTTGTCCTCTATTTCCTTGGAAATACACTGAACTGTCCTGACTCAGATCCCAAAGCTACCTTTAGCCATCCTCCTGTGTCATTTATGACAGCACTATGTTGGACACTAAACGAGGAGGACATGAGAGAACTTAAAAAAAGATTTGGAACTGGGAAATTGCTGTTGGTAGTGGAAATAAAAGGTCGAACAGAGAACAGTGGCAGGATACGAGGCAGGACAATTAGTTCAGGTGCAGATCATGGCGAACGGGGAGTTGGGCTTTTGTTCTTTGGGCACGAGAAGGTCAACAAAAGGTTGTTAAGTAGGGGAGTGACACAGTCAAAGGCATTTATAAATCTGTGGATTTATAAATTTCCAGGAGCCAGCAGGTGGCATGGTGGTTAAGGGTGCTAGACTCCCACATGGCCAACTGTGGTTTGAGTCCTGGACCTGGTGGCTTGCTTTCTCACTTTCCATCTCTCTCTCTCCGTGTCCCTCTCTGGTCAAGTTAGAATAAAATAAATAAATAAAGTTAAATATTTTTTAAATTAAATAAATAAATACATTTCCAGAGACCCCCATGACTGCATCTAGGATGAATTGGAAGGAGAAAAAGAAATGAGATGGAGAAACCTATGATGTTATTACCACAGTTCAAAGGTAAAATGATCAGGTCCCAACTTCTGGGTATAGAAAAGATGTGATAAATATTTCAGAGGTAGACAAGAACTCTTGAAGTCTTGCTGACTAATAAGATATGGAAAGTGAAAGAGAGGAATCCACTTTTTTTTTTTTTTTAATTTTTGTCAAAGAGTGCTTGTACTATCTGGAGAGAGAAAAAGAAAGAACACACTCCCCATGGGGCAATGGGCACACTGCAACCCCTTCTCCTCCATTTCTCCTCATTCCCTACAACCGGTTCTTCTTACACTTTCCTGTCTCAGTGAACGGCACCATCATCCACACTGTCCCTGACTTCAGACTAGGTCAGACTCTTTATTATACCCTCCCCACCAGTAACTTATGCTTGTAATTAAGTAGGTAATGTTTAAGTACTTGTTCACCCTGCTGTTTCCTTTTTTTTTTTCTTTTTTGGAGAGGTTTTTGCTATAGGGCGCATGTGCTCGACAGAAAGACAGAGAGACAGAAAGCAAGAAATCATCCCCCAAGGGGAATGGCCACACCGCAGTCCCTTCTCCTCCATTCTCCTTTTGGGATCTTGGGCACGCATGCACATGTGCCTGGCGTGAGTTAAAGCCGCCGGGTCCGGGACTTGAACCACGGTCGACTATGTGGGAGTCCAGCGACATAGCCATTACGCTAACTGCTGGTCCCTCACCCTGCTGTTTCCTTACTAGAAGAAAAGTTTCCTGAGAGTTAGTTAGGACCATGTCTTGTTCAGTGGAACAGTGTCTGGAACATGACTCTTTGATAAATATCTGTTGGATTAATTAGAAATCTACACAGTCACCCAAGCTAGAAAAGGACAAGGCCCAAGGCAATGACCAAGCCAGTTGCATGAGCATCTCTAGCATTCAGATTATCATTGAAGTAACTATTTCTCCATCGAAAGAACCAGGACTCCTTAGAAAAATGGCTCACAATGAGTCTGTGACAAGAAATTCAAATGAGCCTTACCATTTTGTCATAACAGATAGTAAAGCAATTATCAGAGACTTCTAGGGGCATGTAAACAGGACTCAGGAACTAGCCTGATGAGGTTCCTACTGGCCAAGGGTGGGCCAATTCGAGCATCACATGAAGGATAATATTATAACACTTGGGATAGACCAAATTAACAATCATTGTTGACTCTATTCAAACTTTTATTTTGAAAGTAGGTAAACCAAGGGAAAGAATTACTATATTTCTCTTGCCTTTCTTACATAAATTGTAACACTGGATAACCAAATAGTGGATAGAGATATTTTTACTAAAAAAAGTATTCTAGTTAAGAAACATATAAAGATAGAACTAAGGGCCCAGCAGATGGTGTAATGGTTACATCTCTGGAGTAACACATGGCCAACCATGGTTCAAGTCCTGGACCAGGTGGCTTGAAACACAGAGGGCGTGTGTGTGTACATGCCCGAAATCCTGAGAGGAGAATGGAGGAGAAGGGATTGTGATGTGGTCATCCACCCTGTGGGGTGATTACTTGCTTTTTATCTCTCTGTCTCTGTGGTGAGCACACGTACTCTATAGCAAAAAATCTCTCTTTAAAAAAAAAAAAAAAAAGAACTAAAATGTCATTTTGAAACCTCTATTGAGGGACCAGCAGTTAGCATAATGGCTGTTGCTGGACTCCCATGTAGTTGACCACGGTTCAAGTCCCGGACCTGGTAGCTTGAACTCACGCCGGGTGTGTGTACATTCATGGTCAAGATCCCAAGAGGAGAATGGAAGAGAAGGGGTTGCAGCGTGGCCATCCCCACTGGGGGGGGGGTGATTTCTTGCTTTCTGTCTCTCTGTCTCTGATTTCTCGCTTTCTGTCTCTCTGTCTCTCTCTGTCTTCCTGGTGAGTGCACGCGCCCTACAGCAAAAAACCTCTCCAAAAAACAAACATAACAAACCTCTGTTGAATTAATAGATTTAGGCATTTCTTATTAATGGTTGCTAATATCAAAGAGAGGGATAATGAGATGTTATGAATTTGGAGATGAAAGAATTTAACAACATAACACCAACTACTATTGCTAAAGAAAAAGATCAAATAAAAATGTGATAATTTCTTTAGATCCAACCACTAATTCACAGAAAACAAAGACCATGATGCCATGGAGATATCATCAGTATAATTCATACAGTAAGAAACTTCAGGATAAATCATTCTTCAACAAATGGCAAGGGAGAAAAAGAGACAGAATAGGAAATCCATAATTCAAGAGACATTTAAGAGATACATCGGCCAATTGCAGTAAGTGGACCTTACTTGGATCTGATTCAAATAAGCTGATACAAAAGCTACGATATTTATAAGTCACCTGAAATTCAAACACTGAAGGATAGTTGATATTAAAGAATTATTTTGGGGACCAGCAACAGCAGCATGGGCTCGATGCTGCTGCTGGATAGGCTGAGTGCAAATGGAAACCCGGGTTCAATTCCCAGACCACCCTAAAAGGCTAGCATGCTGGCGTGGGCCTGCAGTCCCAGCTACTCCAGAGGCTGAGGCTGTAGGATCACAACACAGAGAGACTGTCCAACACCCCCTCGCCACACACACACTGCCAACGCCCACACAAAAAAAGGATTCTTTTTCAAATGTGATTTTGCTATTGTGGTTCTATTTTCAAAGAATTTCAATCTTTTTTTTCTTCTTTTAATTTTGCTAGAGGGCACATGCACTTGCCAGAGAAAGACACAGAAAGAGAGAGAGAAAGCACTCTCCGTGGAGCATGGTCATGCCACAACCCCTTCTCCTTCATCTCCCTCCTTTCAGGATTTTGGGCATGCACATTCATGTGCCAAGCATGTTTCTCAAGCCTCCGGGACCAAGACTTGAGAGCGCTGGACTCCCACATGGCCAACCATGGTTCGAGTCCTGGACCTGGAGGCTTCCCTTCTCACTTTCTCTCTCCCTCTCTCTGTCCTTTTCTAGTCAAATTGAAATAAAGCTAGATAAAATCATTCTTTTTTAAAAATTATGAGTGCATGGATAAAATAAGATTTGAGAAGTGTTGATAAAATTAGTATAAAACAATTAGTACCTGATTAGCACACAATGGATAGTCTACATTTACTATATATTCTATTTTTGTCTATGTT